GAGTATCTCTGGTGGTGATACTTTAGAGTATCTCTGGTGCTGATACTTTAGAGTATCTCTGGTGCTGATACTTTTGAGTAGCTCTGGTGCTGATACTTTGGAGTATCTCTGGTGCTGATACTTTAGAGTATCTCTGGTGCTGATACTTTAGAGTATCTCTGGTGCTGATACTTTAGAGTATCTCTGGTGCTGGCGTCAATTAATGTTTTAAATTCTTATTTCAGGCACGAATTATTCCCCAATATTTCGACAGACAGAAAACTTTCATAAAAGTATCATCATGATACGTGCATGAGTCGAATTTACGCAGGAGACGAATGAATTCGTGAAATATTAATTAGTTCGAAAGGTAATCGTTTGCTCACTTCGCAGCTACATTTTGCTTGTGCTAATTATACTTTCAATTTGTGCGTTATTGTTATGCATTTAAAACTGTCTGCTTTTGATCATTTTTTAAAATAATGCTGGCAGTGAAGAACAATCCTGGTGGCGGGCAGTGTTGAAGCCGGGCAACATAATGTTGCTGGCAGTGCACATGTTCAGCTCTGTCTCATGTGACAGGAATTATACCACAACTCTGTTCGACAGAGAGATTTTTTCCAGCAGTGCTTAAATTAATGGAAGTGAAAGCTTCATCCTTCATCTAAATCAAGTTCACGACGTTTCGACCACGGTCGCTCAGGAGTTATTTCGTCAGTGTTCTAATAGATGCCGATTAAAATATAAAATATAAAGGAACGCTGGAACGAACTTTGCCTTCATATGTCAGAGTCTCTCTCTGGGTCCTTCTTCTTGCCCTGGAACAGCGACGTTATTTATTCATTAGAAGATAGGGTGCAGCGGCTGTCTGGGCTTGTGCTGCTCGTGTCGTTGGCAGCCAGGGATAATTTTGAGGCATTTTGGATGTGTGGAGGAGATGCGACCGTACAATGTTTTCAAACAGAACTGGAAGTCTCACTGGAAGTCTCAACAGGACTGGAAGTCTCACAGGACTGGAAGTCTCAACGGGACTGAAAGTCTCAACAGGACTGGAAGTCTCAATGAAAGTCTCAATAGGACTAAAAGTCTCAATGAAAGTCTCAATAGGACTGGAAGTCTCACTGGAAGTATCAATAGGACTGGAAGTCTCAATAAAACTGGAAGTCTCACTGGGAGTATCAATAGGACTGGAAGTCTCACTGGAAGTCTCAATAGGACTGGAAGTCTCTATAGGACTGGAAGCCTCACTGGAAGTCTCAAGAGAACTGGAAGTCTCAATAGGACTGGAAGTCCCAACAGGAATGGAAGTCTCAACAGGGTTGGAAGTCTCAACAGAACTGAAAATCTCAATGTGCTTGGAAGTCTCAGTAGGGCTGGAAATCTCAACTGGACTGGAAAAATATTTACATCTCGGAGTGCTGTGTAATGTTCAAATAATTTCATTTGCATCCACAGATCATTCAATACATAACGGGCCGAGTTCCTGGAAATCAAAACGATTACTAAACCTAACCCATTAATTTGTTGCGTGCGGGACGAATATAAAATGTGTCAATGTTTAATAATGCTAAGGTGGCTGAGACATGCGTTATGTTTCTATACAAATGTTGGTTGAATCTCACAAAATAAAATGGATAGCAAATGTAAAAGGCTAGAACTTCGCGGCGCGCGAGTAAAAACAAGGATAACGGAAAACGAATTTAGCGTAAATTGAGATCAATTCGTTGCTAGGTAAATAGCCTGTTAATAGAAGTGACCTCTGAACCCACACAAATATAAAAATCATATGTAATTAAAATACTGATGCTTCATGTATACTGTACATGTTGTGCACGAGTCAGTCGTTAAACATGTTTCATCTTATATGCGGGAACATGTAAACCTTGACCAAATAAAAAAATTCTTAATAAACAAGAAATTTTGTAATATTTTTCTGCTAACTTAATTATCAAATACTTAACATACCCTCTCATCAACATAAAACATCATGGGCGAAAAAAACTCCTAAGCATAAATGTGAAATTGCTCAAATCTTCGGTTCAAAAAATTTCTGTTGTCGAAATTTTTAGAATATAATGATGTAAAAATATGAGGTTTGTTCATTACATCACTAGGAATCATGTAACTTGGCAACGAAATTCCAAATCTCCGCTTACACTAAACACCAACAACACAATCCTACAGGAAAAGAAGATGCCACGAAGAATTCGGTCTTGCTGAACGCTACGGAATCTACTCACGCTCCGCCGTGGCCAGTCTTCATAAAAGTCCTGACGTCTGCAATTGCTATGAAGACTCAGTCTTGTTTTTCCCAACGTCTCAGTAGAATTTCTTATAAAAATTGTTGCTGCGCTCGAACGAATCCTCAATCCCTATTCACGCTTGGTCCGATCTGGAGATGGAGATTGCAGGCGAGACAATTTCCGAACTGGGAAATAACTCGCTTTCCTTATCTGCTTCAAGAAATTGAATATCTTGAACAGGCTTCAAAACATGGAACGAAATCATGTATTTTGCTTAAATATATTCCTGGAGTTTCTGAGGATTAGGTAGCATTTCGGTTTTGGAATTGGAATTAAGTCGCGTGAGTGACGGAATTACCGTATTTGAATAAACAGAATTCGTTAAAAATGACGGATTGTAGAAATTTGTACGGACGAAGAAGTTATTTATCAATAAATTGGATTATTATATTACACTTGCGTATAATGCTAATTAAAAAAATTTACTCTAAAAAATACTCAGTCAGATATAATTTAAACGATTTTTCTTGCATGATTTACGAAATAAATTTAGGAGACAAAGTAAAGCTTGGACAGTAACCTCGCTTGTAGCCACATCAGGCCTACACTTCAGCGCCGAGATCAATATGTTATGTTATGTTATGTTATAATGCGCTATGAATTTATTTGCATTGCTATATTAATTCAAATAACGATAAGGAATGATATCACATCTGCGAAGAATATTCGAGTACCGTCATTATACTGGAGCTTCAGGTAGAAATACCAATACAAGACGAAAAATGGATTATCATTGAACTGGCTAAAGGTAGCGGTCCAGCGTGGCCTGGGACGCTACGTCCGAAACACATACCAATAAAACTAAGGATATTTAATATACTAAGGGCACTAAGGATATAATTAAATTAAGGGCCCGAGGTTTACAATCAAGGTTGGAGTAACAGTGGAGATTTATCATTTGATGTTTTACATTCAATGGTAACAATTTTGTAACTCATGTTGTACACATGCAATCATGCGTCGATCGTTGAGTTTCTCTGACGATGTTGAGGACTCCCGCTTAATTGATAGTGATTTTGGAAGAAAGTTAAAACGAATTATATAACTTCAACAATATATTAGAATATTACCGTAATATATATGGCAGGACAGATACTAATTTGTGCTCATTTAGAAAATTATTAGCCCGCAAAAGTCGGATGTAGAGAATGAAAATTTATCAGGAAATGAACTTATCACTTTTTCATTCAATTTCAGATTGAGTGAAAACAAAGAAAGAATAAACAGCGAAAATTGACACAGCCTCTAAATGACACTCAAGCAAAATGCTCTATATTTCTATGTATTCAGTCGAAAACACTCCCAGAAGCGAAAACACTCCCAGTAATTAAAATTTTTTAATTAAATTTAATCTTAGATTTCATTAAAAAAATTTTAATTACTGGGAGTGTTTTCGCTTTTATTGCCGTTGAATTTAATATAGGGTCGATGGGCCACAATCCGGGAATAATTTTCGATAGGGGCGAAATAATCCACCGCAGTCACATACAGGCACAAAATCACGCCCGGAGGTGCAGTTCTTAACGCCTGAAAACGCCCTAGAGATTCTAGTGCTCCAGTCATACTAGTATTGTGGCGAGGGCTGTTGATGAGATATTAGTTTCAGACGTACTAGTGTTGTAGTGGAGGAAATTCTTGTATTGCAGTCCCACTCTTCTTTACAGTTTCTTCTCCTATCGGTGTTAGTCTTTCCTATATAATATATTATATACCACCATCAACCCCTGCTCCTCAAACCATACCACCCATGGTATATAAATAATATTGTGTACCCCCACGTACCCACACACCCACCAAAGATTAATTCCCCAATATTCCAGCTTCCTCAGCTGCAATTTCACGTGGGGATAATTTTAACTCATTTTTGAATCCCCACCGTTCATTGTATTCATATCATATCTTTCCCCTCCCACCCGTCACCTGTCTTAAAATTTATTTACGTCTCGGACAAAATATCTTCTGTTACTACACTTTAGTTCATCCTCACTCTAGGATACACACCACTCAAAAAATAACTATTTTGACGCTCCGAGTATGAACGCCTTCAAGAACAGACTAGACGAAGCTATGCAGGAGCATATGTTCAGTCTTAAAAAGCCTAGCAAATTATGGACCAGGCAATAAGTCCAGCAGCTCTCTCAATCAATCGTCAGCTATGGAAAGATCGGGTTCCAAAGGCCGGATCCCTTGTGAATCAAGTCACGAAAAGTACAAGAATCGGCGACAGGCCAAGGGCCTATTTCTTCAGTGCCAACAGTTTTATTCTATTCTATATTGCCAAAATAATGACAAACTTACTGGCAAACGTGTATCGCTATTAGGACGAAGTTTCACTCATTTCTCTGCTGGTACGTTTAGATATTATCCCCATAGGAAAGACTTGTCCAATATTATTTGGCAGCTCGCATGTTTCAGGGAAACTTTTTGGGTTGTCAAGTTGGATTGAAGTTGTCGGCGCGGTGAGAAATTGCAACTTCAACTCTCATCCGCCTGCCGGGACTTGATCAGCTACGTCTCCAACTTCTGTAGCTTCTAAGTTCAAGTTGCTGCGGAAATGTTGCAGTGTCAGCTGAAAAGTTACAGTTAGAGCTTTGAAGTTCTCGCTCGAGCATTAAAGTCGTTGTCGCATCACCGAAGATATATAAGCTGAAGTTACAGCAATAAACATTTCATTGGAATTCTGAAGTTGTATGTATGTATGGTAGCTGTTGCAGCAGAGATGTAGTTAGCTTATAGTTGTTGTGTGGGAGCTATGGCTATAACGCTGTATTTTTTGTTTCAGAGGATAAGTTTATTGTAGCACTGAGGTTCTAGTCACAGCAATAAAGTATTTGTTACCGAGATGAAGTACTAGTTTCAAGGTTAAAGTTTTACAAGCACCGGTAATGTAGTATATTTGGTAAATTAGTTATGTGTGCTACACCCCCTGACAGAGTTGTGGTAATGCAGTTAATTATACATAAACTATACGCTTTATCACAAGATATAATTTACTATATAATCAATTGCCAGTTCATGAATGAAATAAAAAAAGTTCCATATATGCCTCAATAATAATTATTATCATGTATCACCGCATAAGACAAAACGTATGTAATGTATTCACCTATTATGTTAAAGCTAAAATTTTTTTTTTTTGGAAATGCGCAATCGTTTTTTTTAAATATGACGTAATTTTTATTCTTTCGTTATAAAAAATTATTTATAACAATACAGTTAATTTATTCTTCAGAACCCAAATAAGGAGGAGGCCGGCCGGTAGCCATCTTTTCTCCCGGCCATAAATCGGGCGATCCTTGGAATTTGGCCGACTTGGTAGCAATAATTACAGCCTTGGTAGCAATTATTACATCCTTAATTATAACAATTTAGGCCAGAGGTCGTAGCGTTTACCCTTCATCGATAACAGTCATGGCTGAATATCATACCCGCGATCATATGGAATGTGCTTGTCTCAGCTAATATATTGCTTAATGCTAATCCCAGGACGGCTGCTAATCAGACCTTATGTCGCGGGGATCCTGGCAGTCGCTGTTAATCCGTCATGCAGGCGAGGGTCATTAGAGGGACCTGAGGGACCGTGGTAATTGGACGGGCCAATAATACCGGGCCCAATATTGCGGGCAATATTCACTGCCATGGGACATAACAGGTGACGTGTTAGATGATACCTCTTCATTATATTGTGGAGTGAACGTTTCGTTGTGATTTAAGGAGTGAACATTTCATTGTAATATTGTGTAGTGAACATTTCATTGTAATATTGTGTAGTGAACACTTCATTGTTATGTTTTGTAGTGAACGTTTCGTTGTGATATTATTGGTGAACGCTTCGTTGTAATATTATGTAGTGAACGTTTCGTTGTGATATAAGGAGTGAACATTTCATTGTAATATTGTGTAGTGAACACTTCATTATTATGTTTTGTAGTGAACGTTTCGTTGTGATATTATTAAGGTTTCGTTGTGATATAATGTAGTGAAGGTTTCATGGTGATATAAGGAGTGAACGCTTCATTGCGATATTGTGCAGTGAACGTTTCATTGTGATATAAGGAGTGAACGTTTCGTTGTGATATTGTGTAGTGAACGTTTCATCGCAGGGTTGGCAATGATTAAATCA